ACATCGCGCTCAAGGCTCGAATTAATATCTCGACAACCATGTTGTTACCAATTTAACACGCCTGATCCTTCACGATATGCCTTATGTCATGGATCAATAATAATTAAATACCATTTTATATATTAATTTTGACATTGTGTAATTATCGCTTACTACACTGGCGTTGTCGCACAAATAATGTTACCTTGAGGCTGTGAACGTCAAAACTGTGTTTTATAAGGGAAAGATAGTGGTAGCAACATCAAAATTTAGCTATCATAAAGGAGATATCAGTTTGATTAATGGAAAGCACAGATTTCCGTCTGTTGCTCTTTGCGGTTTACTGAAATTATGGTAGCCAAGAGTGGGAGCTATGAGGTATATAAAGGTTCACCAGGGGGCCATGGCTGAATTAAGGTTGCCTATGACTTTTATAAGCAATGAGCATTGGTCAAAATAAGCTAATATTCCGCTTTCACAGAGCGATCTCATTCACACATCCCTACTTCTAAAATTCCGTGGCCCTGACTTTTCATCGGTTCACATTTTATTTTTCCCCTTATGTAGCCGAATTTGGAATTCGTCTCTTTGTCAACATATAGGACCTGTCAAGCCAATATTTTAATCCCACCATAGACCATTTTTGTATTGTTAAAATTCGCATGGATGCGGCTTGGATAACGACCGGTAAGATTACAAGCGGGTGAAAGTTTCTTTCCGATTCCCATTAGGCATACAGTGTTCGCTGAATATTGTAATACACAAACATAACTCACTGCAATCCGAATTAGTTAAATGAACCCTCGTTAGAATAACTGCATATCCAGCTTCCCGTGACTGTGAACTTCGGTGAAATCGTGCAGTGTATTTGACTGGGGTTTAGCTGCACCAACTAACAAATGGACGCACCTCCTAGTTAAAAATGTTAGATGCCGATAGTTTCATAAAAATGAATAGCTCACAGAGGACCGCTCTGTCTGTCGTTGATTATTTACAGCCAAAAGAATTACAACAGGGTTCGGACGACAGACGTCCAAACGAATAGGTCGATGTGGCATTCGTGATACAATATTGGGTATACTTGCAAAGCGCATTAGGACGAGCACAGTTCACATCCATAGATCCCGAGCAAACCAAGAGGTAACTCGCATCACAGTGTCCGAGTTTTCTTCGTTCACAGGCATCCACAACTTACAACTACTGTTCAAACACCAGTAAAATGCGCCTATGCTTTTCCAGAGGTTCCAAACGTTAGTTATTATTCGTTTTTCTCAAACTTGTAGTCCCTATTCTGGTTCATCTTCATGCCTAGTCAGTTGGGGTTGGATCCGTCCTGTCTTGTTTACTTCCCTTGCAGATTGATTTTTCAAGTACCAACTTAGTTTACACTGGCTCTTGTCTTGGTTAGAGGTTTGAAGCGCATATAGCTCTGCTAATCTTACAAAGAATTTGCCAATAATATCACTATGCGACAGCTCAACCTGCTCAGTCAGCAGCTGAGGACACCTCATCGGAACAACTGTTTTGTGTCAACGCAAACCGCACGGATTCCACCTAAGGTCACCCTATTGACATCGTTTTATTTACCGTTTCAAACCACACTGAACTCGAACAACTTTTCCTCCGAACATCGCCTCTTTGTGATAGCTCATGTGCCTTGCCAACAGCCACCTTTCTACAAAGTTTCTTTATTACACTGCTATACAATTGAGCTATAAATGCGTAGGCGTAAAGGGCATGGTTTAAGTTTGGTTAATTCAGCAACCAACCCTTTACTGTCGGCCATTTATTATTTTATGGGTCTAGATGCCGTTTCAGGCTTTCGTTCCCAGGCTCAGCGCACGTGTACATTTGTTGCCTAGCTCATTCAGATCGTAACGTTCCGAATTCAATTAGCTATTTGTGCGTGGGGTACTATCAGTGAACTATCTCGTCTGCTCAGACAAGGATTCGAAACAACTAGGACATGTTGGAATGTAATTACACGGCGCAGGACGAGGTTGACTTGTTTATACAAAGCTAGAGAAAGCATTTACAGAGCGGTTACATAAGTACATGACTAGATCAGCAACATTAAAATATCTATGAGCACCAACCAATCCAATGGTTATACAAGCTTTTCAGGCCTTTTCTCATCCTGGTGCTTATAACAAGTCACCTTATTCAGATTAGGTTATTACCCTTGTTTCACAAGTCGTAGACCTTCCTTTCTATTGAAAATGTCTTCCAAATTTAATTGGTCAACTCGTCGTTTCATGTTTTTGGCAGAATTTCTGCTCCGCCCTATTCCTGCTTCAACCATTCGATGTTTTTATAGGTTCATCGAATTAGCTTACAAGCCGCAAACCATGCTCGGTATGGATGACGGACCAACCTGTGTTGCTCCCGGTTTGTTTGTTGAGGCGACCGGTGTGTACGATACCCGCCTTTTCCTGCCCTTGCTTGCCTCCGACCTGAGGTTGCCACTGTGATGACCCAATCGTTATGTGTAGCTTCCATAAATGAGGTAATAGATGTCACGTCAAATGTGAATTACCCGATTAGGGGGTTATGATCTGTCAGAGAAGTGGCGCAGATAATGGGGGTCGGTTAACAAGACAGGCTTTACTGTTTGATCTATGGATGAGCTCAGAGGACGTTGCTGAAGTACAGGACCGATTTGCTTCGGCTTCTATGGCGAAGTAATGAGACTCGCCATCTGCTCAATTGTTCATTTTGTTTTCTCACGATTTTATGTGTACAACTGTGCATTTGACAATTGGAATAGCTCTGTATACCCAACAAAAGCAGAGCAGTCTGTCACACTACTGGACGTCTTTAATTGTACGCCTTACGCCCACACAATTAGCGTGGAATGCAAAGGTACAGTAGGAACAGAGCAGATATGCCCTGACCGAGTAGGTGCACTTAGATTCACCGCTTTTATCTCTAACTGGGCGCATTTTCAGTGTCCAGCGTTGTTATGACCGAACGTCGCACCTGTCTGCTTACGTTATATAGAACTTAAGCTATACCCAAGTTCATTTTTAAATAGCGCAGTTCACCGCAGTTATCGTAGGTTAGGTTGTCACGGAAATGACACACACGCACGCGCAGTTTGGATTCTATATAGACTGACGGCGATTAGTGCAAACTTAGTTTCTTGAATCTGCATTGTATTGGGTAGCTGCCAACAATTTAGTGTCACAAATGGGCAATTATAATCAAAAGCCACAAATGTGACGGCAGTTTCTTAGGAATGGTACTGTAGTACTCGTGTTTAGAGAATCGTTAAGCGCAAGATATACCTTACGGAAGACAACCTCAAAGGAGAGTGTTGTTAAACAACAGCAAGGTTTCAGTCATGAGATTGACCACGATAATTGCTAAAAGAATTCATGTTTCTTGTTCCATGTTCGTGGGGCATAATATCCTTAAAGGTGAACACTAAATACGATAAGTTTATCGGATTAGAACGCGTGTATGATACATGCGCTGGGTGAAGAGGGAAAAGAGAAAACCCATGCGAGAGGAGCGCCCTTGTACCGAGTCAATCTGCAGAAGCCATAGCACGCATTCCGAAGTTGGCAACACCTTCGTCAAGCTCAGGAAACTTTGTAAGATTGACCAAAGTATTGCGCTTCTCAGGGTTTGCAAAATTTTTCAGAGTCACCAGTAGACTGTGGGTGTTTTACTGTAATATAAGGGTGGCTTAGACCCACTCCTTAAAGTAACTTGTCAAAATATTTAGCACTGACCCAAGTTCCATTTTCTGTGGCCAAGACACAGGACACCGATTCGCGACTAAATATTGTACGTAGATGGTCATTGTGAATCCTTGCGGTGATAACTTGGTAAAATACCCTACTTGCTATTGCAAAAGGGAACCGACAATGATTAGCGCATAACACTTGTCCAGAAATGGACTACAATAGTCTGTATACACTCACTGTCACGTCTCAGGTGGCATGAGCCACGGCGTCCAGTTATATATTTCAGAATGAAACTTATTTGAGCAGCTGGTGCAGTTCTTTGCCATGTAGAGTACAACTGCGTTTAGTTCTAATCATCAGGTCAAATGACGCAATGACTTCATTTATTCTACGCTTAGATTACCGGAACGCGATTCCTGTAATACAACAAATCTCAGCATCGTTGGCACAACAAAGCCATATGGGACACAAAAGCCCCTCAAATGTAACAGAAACTTTATCATGGAGCTTCCAAAAACTTGAAAATTGTCTCTTCGGTTCAGGTTGCCATTCTTTAAGGGGTAATGACAAAACGGCATGAGAACATTTATGTACATCAGAAATCATATTTGAACCGTCTACTGTACTCTCGATCTAACTAGACGTGCCGTGTCGTGACAAATAAGCACCACGTGGTATGCGTTTAGCACTATGGTGTTGGATGTCATGCGAATTTCCAGCAAACATAACGTGCCATCGCAGCAGGCGATTTATCCAAGGAAGTATAAGAATGAACACTGGACCGTACTGTTTGAAGACATTCTGTAAGACAACTAGACCATAGTCGAACTAATACCGGGTAAAGTGAATGGGTCGGGATATATCGTAGTTAGATTTTAATCCGTTATGGTCAGCTATCGTCCTCCATGGTTCAGTGGCATAAGCTGTTGGCTAGTGGTGTAAGCCACTAACGGTCCTGGGTGTAATACGCAGCACTTGACCGGGGATATGCGCACCATTGACGAGCTCGAAACGATCATCTGGTGCTTTTCATGATTCGTTGTTCACCTTCCTGGCTTATAAGTTAATTGCGATTAATCAAATAAAATCATACCTAAATCCGCCTAATCATTCGTACCTCAACGTTTGATGTAATTATAAACATAGGTAATTACCTTCTCTTCATGTTAAATTCTTCTACTAGCAGATGAAATATGAGCTGCAGCTTCAAAATCACCCATGAGGCAATCGCAACCAGGAAAATGATACAAACCTTAGCCGCTAAGTAAACGCGAGGAAACCTAATACGGTCGAAAAAGGCAGTCATTTAACTTAAAATGTAAGGGAAATTAAAGTTAACGCTGTTAGACAACCGGGACTTACGAGAAATATTAACACATTCGTGTTGCAAAAGCGTTTATCATTCGGAGCAAGCATGTGGCAGATACGGGAAGTTCGACGTTCGTATTGAGCGCGTACAATTGTTACAGACGGCGCTGCAAACGCTTTTGACTCAGCTGACATCTTGCAGAGCGTTTGTTAGTGGTTTTAACTCAGGGACCTGCAATCAGAAATCGAACGCATTGGTATCGTAATGAACAACATGCACAATGAGACGGAAACTACAGACTTCCTGCTGCACTATTCTTACTGGTTGCTATGTTACTAACGAGTTAATCCCAGTTTGAAGGTAAGAATTGGTTAAGTTGGTTACGTTGCTGTTACGTTCACTAAATAGTGACGGTGATTTCCTATGCTCATCATTTCTACTATCATTAGCACACTAAGTAATATCGCGCTCAAGATAATGGGCGCGTAAACGGGATGTAGAGCATGAGCTATTATCTGATTATTATATGTTACGATGCACTCAGTAGGCTACCAGCACAACACTTCTGAGGTATTCTCAGACTACCCTTGCTTAGAACACGAAGACATAATAGAAGTACTTACGGAAAATGATGTTTTTGGCGTGTTGTACACACACTTGATTGTGGCGTACTTTTTCGGGACAGCGGGCCACTGTAGAAAGAAAAGCAGTGATGTTCAGGGTTTGAAACAGAAAATGATACATACATCTTTCATATCATGCCCCCAAGACTCATCAAGAAGCACTGCTGACTGTAGTGTGATTGTGTCGGTGGTTGTATGGGTATCACCTGACTGCAGTGGTTTCCGAATGACTTTGAAGAACATTTACTGCATCGCACATTAAGATGGAATTACCAAGCAGTTCCTTCTTGTTACGTGATTTTATGGTCCCTTCGTGTGGAAAGACTGAAATATAGGCAGACGAGGTTCGTATATCAAAGCGCATATAATCGCTCGAAGGGTTGGTCAGGTAGATACTGGAGGAAAACGGCAAATCGAAAGAACCTAGAATTACAATTTGTCCAGAATGTGTGAGTACCTTCAAACACAAGCTCGTGGTTCGGTTCCATAGCAAGTTCTCCTCGCACCCACGGTATGCACTTTATATTCTGTGTCAGAACTTCGGCTTGTTTAGAACGTTCCCACTAGGAACAGAAAGTGGCGACGAATGAAGTAATTGAAAGGGGTCAACTTACCAGCTGACGTAGATCTTCCTCGTTCTCACCCTCAACTAGCATGCTTTGAACGATTATCTCGTGCTTACGATTTTCCGGATGATAAAAATCAAATGGCAATAAAAATACTACAAGCGTTGGTTTTACAGTAGCAGCTCACCAGTAAAACGCGTGTTTTGTTGCGCGTCGATGCAACCATAGCGAGGCTTGAAATAATACAATGCGGGTTCAGTGGATTCCAGCTTGTAATGCACCTTAGCTTTCATCAGATTCCTCAGCTGCATAGTGGCGGTTCCACAGGCTGCACTGCAGTCTGTGCGTTGAGGGACTGTGCAGAAGAATTTGTGCAATGATATGATCAAAGAGCAGATATACAGCGTGACCAGGTGACAAGAAATTAAAAAGATTAAGGTAACCAACCCGGAACTAGCAAATATTATGAGAGGGCTGTTCACCTACAGTTAATCTCATGTCGAATAGCGATGAATAGTAAACAATCTAACCGAAGACTTGAAGGTGAATCATGAGAATATCATAAACATCGGTTGATTATTCCAAGTCACAAATTGACAATAAACTTGGTTTGTCCGTGCGGAACAAGTAATGCATGTGGCAGACTTAAGTAAGTAGACACCTAGGTATTTTAGGACCACTGTAGTCATGGTCCAAGTTGTTGATCCGAACAAAATGCTTCAAGGCTTCGCCAAACAAGGTTTGACAAGTTAGATCCAATCTGGACTAAACAGTCAGTTTCATGAAATAATGGTGCTGATAATTTGTTGATGCTTGGCACGCACAAAATTGCAAAATGGCAGTTTTACTTGTACTAGTGACATACTGAGAACTCTGCAAAGTAGGTGAAAGACCTGTGCAAATCCAAGCTCATTGTATGAATGTCACAAAGGTTTGACGCATATCCGTCTTGGTACAGAATAGCTACAGCCTGGCAACCACGGACGAATAATCTAGACTTGCTAAAGATTCCTCTTCAGAGTAAGTCGCAGCTACGCTCTGGGCCTAAGGCTACACAGCTGAACAAATTGATTATGCAATGAAGCTAGTACACAAGTGTCACCCATCCGCAACCTGACAAATATCAAGCTCCACCAACCTCGGTAACATCCATCCTGAGAGTAAATATTTGGCAAAAGCTATAACGGCACAATGGAACACATCCGCAATGGTCTGAAGTTGTGGTTATAACTCTAAGTATGTATATATACGCGTCCGTTGCCACTGAGTAAAACGCAGGAGCAAAGTATATGCATGCAACAGACGCAATCACGCAAGGCGCCAAAACTGCCCCATGTGCGCTTATTACTTCACCAAACCTCAGACAACCTTCCCTCGCAAAACGGTTATACTTATACGAGCTTTAGGTCTGCATCACACGAGTACCCAAAAAGACCTAATGGAGTGACGGTAGGAACGCCCAGTGTGATAATTCTTTTCTCCATATCTGTCCTAGTGAGGCATTTTTGGGACGATTGTCACTCAGTGAAAAGCGTTTTTAGTGATCATTTATTCATGGTTTTAACTACCTTTTTCAAAGAAAAGAAAGCAGGCTTTAAATCGCAAAAATTCGGTCGCAATGTTATACCGAAATTAGATTTGAGAGAAGGAAATTCGTCCCTAATTTTTATTGTTAATTCCCATACAAATTTCCGAATAAGCAGTCATTTGGTGAATAATTGCTTCCAATTATTCATCTTTAGACCAATGCAATCATACACTGGATAAAAGGAATTAAAGGAATAACGATCAATTCTCTTAAATTTACAACGGTAAATATGAACTGCGCGCTAATCGGTTAATTTCAAGTTGCGGAATTAGACCTGATGTAGTTTAACTCGGATTCTTCAGTTCTTACTGGCCACGAAAACAAAGGTGCACGGACTATAGTTTATTTTGCAAGCATAGGGTGGAGTCAAACAATCGAATGCAAATTGTCTTTGCCTTGGCAATTGTACCGGGTCACTGACCTTTCAGCCAGTGCAGAGGAAACTTGTACACTATTCTAAAGGCATACGCTACATCCACCAGGTGCCCAGTTTCGAAGATATGGGCCAGAACGGAACTGCTAATGATCCCCATGCCACCGCGATGTAACCGACGTGCGCAATGTTTTTCAAGTGTTTGTTGTTGCGTCATAAGCCCACTCAAGCTCTTAAATACTCATGGAGGCGATCACCATCTGCAATTTTCACTGTTTCTTGAACGAATCAGTGGTTCGATGAAAAACGCACATTTTAACGTGGCTGCGGTGAAACTCGAGTTAACTACGCCTGAGACAGTTCTAGTGAAAGTCTCAATAGCGACATCCCATTTGAAAACTAACCGTAAGAAGGGCTGCTTCTGTGGTACTGTCGGCCCTGGTATTAGCTTATGTTTATTTCGAAAACTGCGTGATATTTACCTGTCGAGGTATCCATTTTCACGCAAGGTATTATGTATAAAAATTTGATCAGCTTCAAGTGTGTCTTTCGAGTAGATTCGACGTGCTGTCTAGGTAAGCAACCGAGTTAATTTGCGCTTATATCTCAAAGGAACGTAACTGGAAGATAGTATACTGCGCAATCCAGGTAATTTTTCTCTTGACTTGCAGCTGGATGGAGCTATCTGGTTTCTTAGTTAACAAGACACTACATGTATACCATGCTTGCCACTCGTCCAGTCGTGGTCTCTCTGTTAATCTGGACTTATCCCTTCAAATGTTTTTCCTAACAGACACGGATCACCGGACTATTTCCAACTGGTCCATCTTTTTTGACACAGGACCAACGACAGGCTTGTACACCACAAAGTACATCCTCGGCTGTTTTTCGCCAAGTTTAGTCCTTAACCGTTATCTATATGAAATTCATCCGTATGCGGGACAAATAAATTTTCTCAGCCTAGCTGAAGATTTCCGGACGATTGTCCCCCCCCCCAACACCACCAACCAACAGCTTTTGATCCCCTATTCAAATCTGCCTGATAAAACCCCAAATACTTTGACTCATACTCACATTATGAACAGTGATTAACCAAAGGAGTTTGCCACTCTTGTATCGCTGAAGGTTGCTCAAGCTGGCTACGCGAACTCCATGTCTTACTCACTGTGTTATCCCAGCCAATACTAGGGCAGACATGGCGAGGGACTCGTCTGCCTGCCAACACGTTATCACCACTTATATATGGCCCAAACTGTCCATCTCACCACATTTAATAGATCATCTAAACTGAGCTGTTGGTGCATTTTGTGTAGTCCAATCATGCTCCCTCAGGCTGTCTACTGATTGCCCAACCTGTGTATGCATTTAGTCACGCAGTTTGTGCCTTGTGTCGCTTCGAAGCGGTTTCGCTCAGCAGTTTGTTTTCATTTTTGGGTTTGCGGACACCGTTTGAGGTTTGTCATTTTTTGACATTTTTTGTGTCTTCACAGCACCGTAGTCAATCCGGAGTTGACTTTTGACATATTCCGTGCATCCTGTTTCGTGAAATTGTTTCAGGTGATCTGCTAATCGGCCCTTGGTGAATTTGAACAATCGCAGACTGCTCGTTCAGCAAAAGGTTTCTAAGCAATTTGACGCTTACAATCAGTGTCTATGAGCTACAGTTGGACAGAGCTACTTTAAGCTACCAGACAAGAGATAATTTAGTTATGTGCACCACCGTATAACAAAGCTACTGCTATTTTGTCGCCTCACATTAACCATGGCGTTTCTATGTACACTTGACCACAAGTCTTGGTTCATTTTGTACACCTATGCGCAAATTGCGAACCATTACCAAGCCACGGACACAACGATAGTTCCCGCTAAGGTAGAAACTGTGACAGCATAAACGGTGTGAACAGCGTGATCTAATACTGCATACAAAACATCGGGTCGTGGGGTTGGAGATCCATCGCAATGAGGCTGGACCTTACCGTGGTGCGATGGTTTGTATGCATCAGCGATCCATTGAGCTATGCTGGGTGGTGCTTTTGCACCTTCAGAGTCACTCATACCAGATTGGTCAATGGTTAGAGGTCAGGCAAACTCAGCCTCCTGGTCCTCCAGGTTGGGGGTTGGAATGAGGGTGGCACCTTATTACTTAAAACGGACTCCTTGTAGTCCAACGCCAAACCCGCTGCGTTGCGGTCAGGTTTTAAACCAAAGGCTTTGGTTGAGAACCCTAATCGTTCTCCTGTCTAGGCCTGGGCAACCTGACAGTATCCTGCCCACGCAATACAATGAATCACACTTCAAACAAATTGCTGATGCTGTGGCCACCGCAGAGGATAATCAACGGTGCCCTATCTGCTGCATCCAGCAGGGTGGATAGGGGTTTGGAGGCTACTGCTCAAGCCTTCCCGTCTTCTTATTCCCCATCTTACGCTTTTTCACTCTTACCGTCCCTTTCCAACTTCACTTATATCCCCCCAGTTTTCAACCCTCCAATTCTTGGCCCTCCCCCAACATGCTTTGCTAGGCATTTATCTTCTAGTTTCAACTCACATGTGAACGCAAAGCGTCACTACTCTCCTGTCAACAAGCCCATCTCCAACCAAGCGGTCCATTCCAGTTCATCGGCTTCCATTTGGAGCCCTCGATCCTCCTTCAGATTGGCATGCCTTAATGTACGCACACTACTACAGATCGGTCAACAGGCGGCACTTGCCCGAACATTGGAGACTCTCTCGATCGATATCTGCTGCTTATCAGAGACCCGCCTGCAAGACTCGAGCTCTGTGCTCACTCTGCGATCCCCTTCAAGTGACGCAAACAGTATTTTCTCATTGCGCCTATCCGGTGACGATGCAGCTTCGAGCACCGGCCAAGCTGGTGTTGGCATTGCTCTGAGTCCCCGGGCTGAAGCTGCTCTGGTTGATTGGATTCCAATCAGTAGCCGGATGTGTGCTGTCCGATTGGCTGACTCCTCTAAAGCTTCGAAGTCGCGCGGGACTAATAGATGTCTATTCATCATCGCTGCCTACGCGCCCACAAACTGTAGCGATGATTCGGTAAAGAACGACTTCTACCGCCAACTGACTCAGCTCCTTCGCCACAGAAGAAGCGCGGACACTGTTGTTCTGGCGGGGGATATGAAAGCACAAGTTGGAAAGTTGTCCACTGATGCAATGCATCTGGGCGGTCAGCACGGTGTAGGCTCCCGTAATGATAACGGTGAGCGGTTACTTCATTTGTGTGAAGATGCTCGTTTATTTCTTGTGAGCACTAATTTCTGACACAGCACCCGCCGGAGGGTGACTTGGCGCCCACCAGCCTCGAACCAGCCTTGGACGCAGATCGATCACATTGCTATTAGTTACCGCTGGAGAGGCTGCATCCAGAATTGTCGCTCGA